GCATGCTGCATTAAAGAAGACTAAAATGTAAACATATGGTCGTCATCATCGTAATTCCCTGAGCAAGCCACATTTATTATAACTTAATATGCAGTTGTGACATTTACAGATCAGAAACTGGGGATGCATTTCAGTGTTGTGTCAATGGGTCATAAAATACATTAGTACAGTAAAAGTTATCACAGAGGAAGGTGACAAAGGAGGAGCATGTTTAGATGGTGTCTGTTGGTTGCCCTCGTATTAATTATGGCATAGCATACTGGAGAAGGACTAGAACCATAGTGTTATTCAACTCATTTGCATGCACAGATTTAGAAGTCAATAGTATATTAAAAAAAAGCCATAATTTCTAGATGATTGTGAAGGGAGTGATTCCATTGAGCACTGTTTTTGTGTACCCTCTGTTAATTTGAATTGAACTTGCTTGCGCTGATTAGCTGTCTGTTATTTTCTATTAATATGTATATATTGCCTCTTCAGCATTTTAGCTAAGGATGCTGTGACTATGAGATAAGTGACTAGAAGCAAATGACATTTTTAGCCGGAGTTGTTTTGCTACAGGGCTGATGATGAAGATAACAACTGGATTAGGAATTACATCTTTTGCCTCTAGAGGTTGAGCATCCCTTATCCAGAATTCCGAAATCCAGAATACTCCAAAAACCTAAATTGTATATATGGGTTGCTGTGATAGTATCCCTTTTGCTTTCTGATTGTTTAGCGTATAAATGTTTTGTTTCATGCAAAACATTATTCAAAACATTACTAGAAATCTTCAGATGTGATATAAGGTATATATGAAACATAAATTAATATAGTTTTTAGACTTGAGCTTCCTCAGTATGTATATTCAAGTATTTCAAAACACTCTAAAAATACAGAATCCTTATTGTCTCAAGCATTATAGATAAGAGATGCTCAATTTGTAACAATCATCATGACAAGTGGCAAGCAGTGCCTACTTTTACAGATGAGTGTTCTGGAGATTTGGGAATACATAAGTGTCTACAAGACTAAAGAAATATTGCCATCAAGCAAAGCAAAATCTACAGGTTACAAATAAATTTGACATTCTACTAAAACAGAAATGGCCAACCTGTAGCCTTTTAGACGTTGTTAGGCTTAAATTCCCATGGACCCTACCTAGCATACAAATTGGTGTGGGATGATGGGGAACTGCAGCTTAACAATAGAGAGACACTCATTGTCTACTATATGGGGACTGTTATAGTTAAATATTTTCTTTCCATTACAGTTGGCAACCACAATATGAATGTCCCTCTGTATGTTAATTCATGCCAGTTTATTCAAAGCTGAACCTATTTTTGGAGTACTGTTCAGAAACTTAGATTCCCTACAAAACCAGAACTAGATCCAGGGAAAACACTGCTCAGAAATAAGAGAGCATCTGCTGCTCCTGAATGCCACCGTGATTCTTTAGACTTTCTGGATTTCATGTTTACTCATGGCGCAATGTTATTTGAACTGACTTCATCATATTTCTCTGGTTATTCTGGCTATTTCTGAGCATTCAGAACTTTTCATAAAAGCCTCAATGTACAAATCTACAGCTATCAAAACAAATCTTTGACTGCATATATATTATGTTCCATGTTGGTTTTGATGCAATGGCACCCGAAATACAGGGGTCAATACTGCAATGGTTTTTATATTAGATTTAGCACCAGGCTTTTAAAAATATGAAGGACTAAAATTAACAAAACAGGAAAAACAACATTGGTGAGGATGGAAATTGTATAAAATGACTCACTGGAGAAATAAATTTTAAAATAATATCAAATATTGGTCCATTTTGGCACAGCTCTTCAACCTATTCCCCAAACCTGTTATTTAAGGTGGGTCTAACTGAAAATGGAGAAGGCTACATCTGAGAAAGAAGCAGGAACTGGTGACTCCATTGTCAATTGGTTGTGAATGGTTTTAGTTTCAACTTTAAAGAAGCTAACCATGATACAGAAAGCTATCCCTTACTGGCTCAGCACCTTGGACAGCCACTTTAAAATCTGGATTGAATCCGGACAGAATCCTCACTTCACCAATATTAGAGCTACCAGCCTCCTATAGGACGAAAGAACATTCCATGAGCATTGTGAATACAGACTATTCAAAAATAATGCATGATAAATGTGGGAATAGAACTGGGTGGATTGGGAGTGAGGCTGAAAGAGTGGGAAGAATTTACAGTGTGTTGAAATATGTCCTTTACAAGTTCTAGAATGGTATAATTGTAATGCATATTTATTCTAAGTAGTTGTCAATAGACATTTTGTTTTTCTCATTAATATTCCCTAATTAACTGTCATTTGTACCTGAGTACTTCAAAAATATTTTCTTTTATAAAATAAAATGTGGAAATAAGCATAAAATGTGCTGTGCTATTTGTTTGTATATCTGCTTGATCACGGGTCACCCAGGGTATGCTTCTCTTTCCATTCTGTATTCACTTTATGTGTTTAAGCTTGCTTTCTGCATATAAGATTGCTCAGTGTAAAGGCCACATGTCTCGTATTAGCTTGTTTCTTTGTATTTAGCTATGTGTTTAATATTTTGTTATGCACATTTTGTCCTGCTTGCTGCAAGTGTTGCCTTTTTGCATAATAATAATAATTTAAAGGTTCAGTTTAATAATAACATCATGTGAATTCACCTTTAATAACGCCATGTGACTTCACATTTCATAGAATTTTTGTCCATTTTACTGGGCTAAAGACTGATTGTTCTATGTAGATTTACTATGAAAAAAGTCCCACAATGTTAAATGGGGCTCACTCTCACAGATTGCATACAATGGCAAACTGAGACTATTTATTTATTGACTATATTTGTATACCGCCCTTCTCAGCCCGCAGGTCACTCGAGGCGGTTTACAGAGGCAACAATTCATTGCCCAACAACACCATAAAACAAATTTTAATAAAAGATGAGTTGAGTCACTAAGTCAGTGTAACAATACCATCATAGGAAGAAAGGACAGGAGGAAAAAGGCCATGAGCATTGCAGCTAAGAGAGATGGAAGGGGGAGCAGCTTTGGAAAAACAGGTTGCTCAAAGCTGTCAAGTTTTGTCTACCTTCTCTCACCAATGCTGCAGAATGCTAGCCTAACACATCAACAGAATCCCAGCCTGAAGCATTTGGCTGCAATCTAAAGAAGTCATTTACATGCTTGTGGCATTTGAATTGATGTGGATGCTCAGAGCACAACACAAGTCAAAGAGAGGTACAGTTTGTAGAATGGGAACAACCACAAACAAATCTTCAGAGTGAGGTTCTGATGCATGCCTGATTCTCTTACTCTCATGTCAGTGATTTCTTTAGACTTAGGCTGGCAGTGAGATCACAAGACACATCTGCACAGTTCTCATCGTTTTCTTCACATATTAAAAATGATAATTTGGTACAACCACTGCAAAACAGGTTATTTTAGACTATTTCTCTTTAACAAATACCAGCATTTCAGAGAGAAGGCTAGGCTAGTATCCCCCATTTCCAGGGAAATACAGCACCAGTGGCAAATGCATAGCTTCCTAGATATCAGATCATGATCTAAGCATCCTTCCCCATGGGCTTTAATTGGTGAAACTGAAATAAGTTTTATTATAAAAGTTTCCCTAACCTAATACAAGGAATGTCTAAAATTTAATGCTATGTCATCAGGCGTTTGTTTGGCTAAGAGCTCCTGTTTTTCAACGTATCTGATCCCTGTACTGCCCAAGTGCAAAATGGCTGGACCTAAATGAGTTTTTATTTGAATACAGAACCAATGCAGAGGCCATTGCAGGACCATTATGGATTGTGCAGACAACATGTCTGATTCCCTGTATTCAGGAGAAAAGTAATTTTATTTTTCCTGCTATTGCCAGCATATGTCTCCTTCAGCTTCAAAGATAATATTAAATTATCTTAGCAACTTTTTGTGGTATTTAATATATATGAGAACCCATAGGTATCAAATAGAGCACCATATGTGGTTCTCAACCTGGGGTTCCCAGATGTTTTTGGCCTTCAACTCCCAGAAATCCTAACAGCTGGTAAACTGGCTGGGATTTCTGGGATTTGTAGGCTAAAAACATCTGGGGACCCCAGGTTGAGTACCACTGAAATAGAGTAAGTGCCTTCTAAATATATGGTTTTTTTAACCCCATTCTTTAGCTACTGGTACTTTTGCAAAGCACAGCCCTGAAAAAAGTGACAATAGCTTTAGTGTTGCCCCATCCCATAGGCTCAAAGATGAGTTGATCTTCCTCAAATTGGTGCTGATTATATATAAACTACTGGGGAGAGTACCTAGTGGCTTCTGGAAACAAGGCTAGTCATGTACATTCTCTTAAACATCTTCATGTGCTTTCTTCATATGGTCTCTTATGGTCAGTAGATCTCAACCTCATCACAGAGTTTATTAACATAATCCTGCTAACTTGGGCATTGGAAAGTGAAGGCACTCTATTATTGGGAGGTCTAACAATGGGAGAAGGAGATAAAATCATGACTCCTGCAACAGTCCTATATATGTGTTATTTAAACTGCAGTTTCCAAAACCCACCTTCCAGCTTGGCTACTATTCTCTGCTGAGCCATCACTATAGGTTTTAGTACAATTACAGTACAACCCCTGATATCCATGTGAGATACTTTCCAAGACCCACCTTGGAATGGGTCTTGGAAAGACCCGCAGATACCTGAAATCATGAATAATAGTGGATCCTATATATGATCCTATATGATCCAGAATCATATTGTAGAATCTTACTGGAAGATCTCAAGAGGCCTAGAAACATTTCCAGGGAGGGGAGTATGTGCATTTTTGGAGTGTCCATAAGTGAAACCATGAACCTTGAATTCATGGATAAGGGAACCATACTGTTGGAGGTATCTTCAAGAGGAAAATCCTAACCTTCTTCCTCCATATCATTGCTTTCTGTTACCAAAATACTGATACTGATTCTGGTTTCTTTTTTCTTTCCTTCCAACTCCATCTCGCAGCTAACGTATGTGACAATGAACTTCAGATCTGCCTGAATGGAGGAACGTGTGAGAAGAATGTACGTTGCCTGTGCCCACCAAACTACGCTGGTGTACTGTGTGAGAAGCGGAGTTGTGAAGGGAATTCAGAAATCTGCAACTCTGGACAACGGGCATTGTTATCATGCCTGATACTTCTATTACCACTGATTGCACCATTAGGATTAAGTGGATTTTTCCTATTCTAGGCTATGCAGCTTGAGCAGCATCGACTTCAGACTGCTTTGAAAATATAGGACACAGAAAAGGAAAATAAAATAAAAAGAGGACAGCAACAGCCTCAAGAAGATGCTAATGCGTCTTTCAAATATAATTATAATAATAATAAAAGGGGAAAGCGCAAATATATACGTATATATAGACTTTCAAAAGGCCTAACTGAACTAAGCCATATCTATCCATTGTTGACAACCCAGCGAGTCAAGACTGTTACTTTCTGACTCAAGCTTTACTTGGACAGCTGCCAGTACTATTACTACTAATGACAAAGCCAGCTGCAAAAGCTTACCAAGGATCGAAAAGGCTTTGGTTGCCACCCCTTGGACAGGAATACAATAAAATGAAAACCGCAGAACCTTGCTCCTTCAATCTGGTGCACAACTGTACCTCTTCCCAGTGTGTGGGCCAACCAAATAGAGGCATTCTTTGCTGTCAGTGCATTGTGGGTATAAGGAAATCTGTTTCAAAGCTGCCATATTGGCCTGCTTCAGCCCCCTCCCCCCAATCCCCTTCCAACTGTGCTTTAGTGAACGTTGCTCTGTAACCCTTGTTGGTTGAACGATTTCTTTGTCCGATGTTAGTAATGCACATGTGTATCAGCCCCTCCTCAATAAATTCCAAGCCAGTCATACCCTTGTATCTCTTAGAAGCACTGCATCAAGCCAATGCTGTGCTCACCTATTGTACAAGAGTGGCTATAGAACAAAAGAAGAGTGTATTTATCCTTTTGTATTCAAATGAAGTTATTTTTCTTGACTAACGTACAACGTAGACTTTTTGTATTATTGACAATTTGTGTTAACAGACAATTTATTAATGTACTTTAATCCTAATGAGATAAAGGTGGGGGGAGTTAATTTTTTATTTCCTCCTCGTTTTTTTCTCTCCTTTCTTTTCTTTTCTTTTTTTCCTTTCATTTTATTTCTGCAGAGATTTCTCTGTATGGGCAACGTGCTGGCATCAAAGAATATCAGTTTACATATTATAGCAAGTGTAATAAAAATTCCACCAAAGGACATTCTAAATGTTTTCTTGTTGCTTTAACACTGGAAGATTTAAGAGAATAAAAATTCCTGCGTAAACTATTTTAGGGTTTAGTATTGCACTTTCTTAACTGTATTTTATCAGGTGAGAGAGTTCTGCAGGCACAGCAAAACATATGCAAATCTTCATGTTAAATCAGTAGAGGCTCTTAAGGTGGAAAGAAAATCTCTATGGGATGCAGAGGTAGTTATTAGGAGTGACAAGCCCCTGGCAGGCATTGTTTAGTCTAGTAGACAAGTGGACAAGCTCAGTTCCTACTGATCAATTTAAGTTAAAATGCAATTCCCCAGGAATGAACACCTTGTTGTGTTCCACATCCTGTTGTATAGCATTTCCCATCTGCTCTACTGTGGTATGATGGAAGCTACCATCCATATATATCTGGAATGCAAAACATTGCCAGTTGCTACTGTCCTCCGTGACCTGGAAATGAACTTTCATGAATATAATTGTTTCTGAGCAGACATAGGTATCCATACTCTCAATTGCACTGGGAAAATATTATTATAATTTCTATTTCCAACATAGAATTCCAACATCATCCTAATGAACTTTGCCTCTTTCCCTTCCTTCCCATTTCCCATTTTAGGATTCGATTGAGATTTTAAGGGTATAAAGTTATAGGATGTATCTCTTCCCTCCTGGTAAAGCTGATGAAATACCATGTCACATTTGTAGAGATGACATTTTTGGGGGGAAGAGGGGATTTCAAAACCACAGTTAAAAAATTATTGTTGATTTACCTCAAAATTCAACATTTGAAGCCAAAAATAGCTGCAAAATGCAACATGCAGATTTTTTTAGTGGCATAATTAACTGATTTGTGTTAACCTAAAAAGTACTGAAATACCATATGGATGAGGAACTGTTGCATTAATTGCTCTTATGTCTGCTGTCAGATTCTGCCAACTTTTACTATTTAATTGTACACCTTTGGCAAAGATGTTCTAATCAATTTAAGTTAAAATGCAATTCCCCAGAATGAACACCTTGTGGTGTTCCACATCTTGTTGTATAGGATTTCTCATCTGCTCAACTGTGGGATGACGGTGGCTGAGAAACATGAAAAGCAATGGAAATGAGATCGCATGACACATTGATTACAAGAGGAGTAAAAGCAGTTTCAGGTACCAACAGTATTAAATGTTAAACCAGACTAGAGAATCAGTAAATGGAGGTACTGGGCAAAATAGTAGAGGAGTGATTTCCAAAGCCAGGATTCCACCACAAAGCAGGTCTTCTCTCCAAATGACAGCCACCACACTTGAGAGAGGAAGTGATGGAAAGTTTCTGTTGATGGCTTCAGCAGACATTCAGGATGATATGGAATAAACTCTTTTTTGCAGTGATTCTTCATTGTCAATAGCCACTGGATACTAGATCACCAACACTGTCAAATATTGAGGGGTACCTGTCAACACTGCAAGCTGTTTGACTTCAGATATGCTAGCTGGTGTTGCAATATCTTTGGATGTCAAGTGACAAAGCTAAATGTCAAGTATTTGTCAAATATTTGCACAATGAAATGATATTCACTGTCAAAATTCTTCCCATCGTTGTTTTAAAGAGAGCTTGGCAAAGGTAAATTTATTTTCCTGCACAGTTGCCTAAAGAAGGTCTAAGCCACTTCTATAATTAACTATTGTATTCTGTAACTATGATCATTGTCAACACCAAAGACCAGCAATGGATGAGTCCTCTATTGCCATTTATGTTTTAAGTAAGCATGTTAAGGTACACTAGCTCTCTTATTCCATTTTTCTATAAGATTTGACACTAAGGTTGGAATCTGTTTGGCAGGATTAGTTAATAGAATGGATGAAGAAAGTGGTTGTTACTTAGTACATTGCATGGTAGCCAATATGGCAGCAGTGGCAACTTCGAAGGCCACAGCAATTTGGAAACCTGGCAAAATAAAAGAACAAACACACTTGGAGACTTTAGTCCCCAAACTTATTTCTATGCATGCAGCTATGAATATTACATTTTATTTCTGAATGCCTAATCCATAAACTGGGGCAATTACCGAAAGATACATTCATATAGACTGACCGGCATTAGAAATGGCAGCTGACCAATTGACATTACCCATGGTGTGAGTTCACTGTATTCAGCAAAAGATCTTCCATGGATTGATTTGTGTGTACAGTAAGAATCAGAGCTGCCATCTAATGTAGAAAAGAAAACAAAACAAATTCATGTTGGTCAGTTTAAATTAGAACGGAACCATTGACTTCTTCATAGTGAGTCTGGCTGCAATCCAGTCTCAGCTCAGGGTAGCATAAATATCTGCATGAAGGCTTGTGTCATGCTGGACCATATAGCCTCCCCCAGTTTAACAAAAGCCCATGAATTGGCCTCTACCATGGTCACTGCATGCTTAATGATGAGCAGGTAGGCATGGAAAAGGGGCTGGCTACATCCCCTTGGACAGGAATACACAAAATGATGACATCAGACCAACAGAACCTCATATGGATCAGAGCCATGTAATACAAGCCCCTGCAGCCCTTGAAAAATGTGAAAGGAAAGCTCCCACATGTATATGTCCATCACAAAATGCCAGCAAATGTGCAGATTTATTAGAGTCAATAGGTCTGTTTTATTGTTTATTTATTCAGTTGCTTCCTACTCTTTGTGACCTCATGGATCAGCCCATGCCAGAGCTCCCTGTTGGCAGTGGCCACTCCCAGCTCCTTCAAAGTCAAGCAAGTCACTTCAAGGATGCCATCCATCCATTTAGCCTTTGGTCTGCCCCTCTTCCTTTTTCCTTCCATTTTCCTCAGCATCATTGTCATCTCCAAACTTTCCTGTTTTCTCATTATGTGGCCAAAGTATTTCATCTCTGCCTTTAATATCCTTCCCTCCAATGAGCAGTCAGGCTTTATTTCCTGGAGTATGGACTGGTTTGATCTTCTTGTGGACCATGGCACTTTCAGAATTTTCCTCCAATTCTGCATCCATCTTCCTTTGCTCAACCTCCCTTATGGTCCAGCTCTCACATCCATAGGTTGCTATGGGGAATACCATTGTTTTAACTATGTGAATCTTTGTTGTCTGTGTGATGTCTCTACTCTTCACTATTTTATTGAGATTGCTCTCCTCCCAAGTCAATGTCTTCTGATTTCCTGCTACAGTCTGCGTCTGCAGTAATCTCCTCCAGTTGAATTGCATATTCTTCAGGCTATACTGTAACTTGGTTTAGAAAAGTGTTTTCCAAATGTACATCACTGAATGAGTCCAACGATTGTCATAATTTGCAGGAAAAGATGACACAGTTAGGTTTGTAAGGATTAAATGACCTGGGTTGCAAACAATTCAGAAGATTTGAAAGTGTGCATTAAGGTCAGAAAAAACATATTTGCATTCAGTTCAAATGTCATCGTAGGGTTGAAGGGTTTCAGTATGAATGTATGCTTGATGCTTGTGAAAATTGGTATTCCTTGCTCAATGCACTTGCTATGTGGGTTTCTATGTAATCATGGGATGAACTTCTTTATTGTGGAATACATTTCATAATTTTAAACATATTTAGCTACATAGCAAAGATGTTGAAAAACCCGGCTTGTGAATTGCAAACCTTACTAATGTGACATCAGCAAAAGTCTCCCTTTCCTTATGAGTTGAAGTTTTACTGAAATGAAATATTTATATGTGCCCCAAACCCTTGTCTACCTATGACAATATTTGAACAGCTCCTACCATGCAGAGACACACACACAGAACAGCTACACAATTTAACTTTTAATAAAGCCAGATTTAGTATTTAGGGTAGTGTCAAAATATACAGTGGCAAGTATGGGGAAAGTGCTGCTCCAGCAAATAAAGTTTGTTTTAAAGTATTGCCCAAGGTGTAATAAATTCTTCTTTCTGCCTTTTATTAGCCCAATTACTGCATTTGACAGCGAGAGACAGAGCAAAAACAGAGGCAAAAGTACCAACCACAGCAATGTTTCAAAGACAAAGAAAGAATCAAAAGGTGGCAACACAGAGTGAATTTTCTTAGGAGAAAGATATTCCATTGCACGTAATGCAAATATTTTACTCATATAATAGCCTGGAATGGAAAACAATTAATCAGCACAGACAGAAAGCCCAGGAGAAGCGGGTTATTTTGTTCTCTCCGGGCTCTAGTCTCTGAATCAGGGAGTGTGTAGTCTTTTGAACCTTCTTTGATAGACTTGCCCCATCTCCAGAGAATAATAATTTGGCTGGCAAATGCTCCATAGGAACAATCACCAGGGGAGAAAGCTGTCTTATTGGTTTTGTTTCTCGGAAAGCTAATATAAAGAATGACAAAAACAGCAAAATAGGTGACATTTGGAGAGATTTCCACAACAGCGCAGCTGATGGACTGTTTGTTATTCACACCACTAGGCTCTTTGGGTGTACAGGAATAAGATAAGGCAAAGATAAATTAAAGGTTTTGGCTGACTGCCAGTCCTAGCCTACATAGAAGTGTAGATTTAAGCCAGCCGTGCACTCATGGCAATAAACAGAAAATTATATTGCAGCCTCACAGAGGAGTGCAAATGCAAATACAGCTGACTGGCACATGGCACTGAGGATTACTTATAATTAAAGTGGATTTCTAATATTAAAATGTGGAATTTAAGCTGCTGAAAATGTATTAGCACATAAACACCCCCCCCCCCCCCCAAAAAAAATAGCTTACCTGTTCTCTGCAATTAGAAAAAAATCACTTCAGCCATTGTTCTACACTGGGAGGTTTGTAAAAATGCTGAAGAGATAGATCATTTATTTCAGTTGAGCAACTACCAAACTGCAGTTAATTCCATATCTTAACTAATTTCAAATTGTTGCTTGCATTGTAAAGAGAAAGTAGTGCACAATAGACACTATTTATTGTTAATTATTTTTTAAGAATATAGCTGGAATCCTGTATCAGTCTATACTGTACTAAATACTTAACTAAATAATGTATCCTAGATCAGACAAAAACATCATTCAGTTGTGGTCTGATAGTTAGCAAAATGGTCCTCCTCTCCATGCAGTTGATGCTCAATAAAGTAGGTTGTAA